ATTAGGAGGTGGGGCTTGTGGGAGCTGATATAGTGCCTTTGTGAAAGAGACCTAAGAGCTAGCTAGCCCTTCTACCACAAGAAGACATAGGGATAAGGCACCATCTATGAGAAATGGGTCCTCACCAGACACCGATTCTGCCGGCACCTTGAACTTGGACTTCCCAGAACTATGAGAAATAAATGCCTGTTGCTTATGAGCCATCCACTTTATGGCATTTTGTGTTATAGCAGCCCAACCAGAGCAAGACATAGCTATGTCCCACTACACATTCATTTATATGAACAACCTTTACATAATTACTTTAACCTAACACCTAACTCTGTTATTCATAAAATACAAAGTGTATATTATATTTTTTATTGTATACTAAACTTCCTTTAAATATAACTACTACATAAGCTGAGGGTGTGTTAGGCAGCTTTCCATTACTATATCACAAATACTTGAGATGATAAAAAGAGAAAAAGTTTATTTTGATTAATGGTTTTTCCCATTGCCAATTGACCTGTTGCTTTGAGTCTGTGGCAGCACAGTACACCACCACAGGAGCACATAGCAGAGTAAACCTGTTCACCTCATGGCTAGGCGCAAAAGAGAGAAAGAAGAAGGGTAGGGTCCCACAAACTTCTTTGAGGAAAATCCCCAGTATCAGAAGATCTTCTAACAGGCCCTGCCTCTTAAAGTTTCCACCATCTCCCACTAGTGCCAAGCTAGAGAATAAGTCTTTAACCCATGGTGGCTCATTTCAGATCCAAACTATGGCAGAGAGTCAATGGTTCTCTGTTTTGTTAAGATTCTACCAAAATTTGTTCATTAATTCAGAAAGTTCAGTCACTGAAGGTAAGGACATTTGTGACAACTAAGCCACCAAACACAACCCTAAAGTAGTAATCTATTTTTGAAGATATATCAGATTGTCACATATATAGGTACGTGAATACACAACAGAAGCTCCCCTTTTCCTTAGGGGATATGTTCGAAGATGTTCCATGAATGCCTGAAACCACAGATAGTATCAAACCCTAAAATATAATGTTTTTTCCTGTGCCCTATGATACAGTTTAACTTATAGATTAGGCACATTAACTAATTAATAAGTAATAGTAAAACAGAATAATTATAATATAATATGAAAATAAAATAATAAATACTACAATTACAATTATTTTAAGTTTATGAATTATTTATTTCTAGAATTTCCACTTAATATCTTTGGACCATGGTTGACAAAATGCAATTAAAACTGTGGGAAGTGAAACTGCAGATAAAGGGGACTATCATACTTCATTATGTCTTCAATGTGCTTGTGCCTGACTATGACAGCATTTGCTTATATATAATGCTTTATTTTTAACTATAGAATTTTCTCTTTCTCCTTTACATTTACTTCTGATGGGGCATTATGTGGAATTATATTAAATATAATTAAATGTTATTAATATTAAATTATACATTGATGTATATGCATATGAATTAGAATAAAATATGCATCAGAATTGCATTTCAAAATAGTCAAGAGACATTGCCAAATATTCATTTATAAAAAGGGTGTGTTAAGTCTGGTAGAATTAAGAACTAACTAGTTTACACTAAGCCAAACAATACACAGCACACTTGTCCTAACCCAAATAGCTGTGACTTACTTACCTTCCAGACTCGGGGAAGGGAAAGCAATCATCATTAGCACAGGAAGAATCATCACTCCATTTACCATTGTACAACTGTGGAGGGAAAAGGAGACATATAAGTAAAAAGAAAAAATTCACTTGCAATGACATGAAGTTAGGCATGCAATCTTCAAACTGCCACTGAGGGCCCTTCTTAAAAATTCCTAACATATATTGCCTAATTTCTTGGTATACTTAAGCATATTCCCTTTTCATAGGTATAAACAAATCATCTAAGGAGTCAGTCAGATTTACCTGACTGGTGCTCTCTCTAAAGTAACCTTGTCTGAACCTACCCTCTTACAAAGAACTCGCTAAGAAAATGAAGGGAGTAAAGGTATAAAGGTTGAAGAAAATGCATTCCCAAAGATTTTAGGTTTGAATAGTATCTTACCATATTGAAATGGGCATTTTATTTTTTATTATCTTATTATTGTTGTACTGGGGACACACTGTGACATTTACAAAAGTGCTTACAATATATCTTTGTTAAATTCACCCCCTCCACCATTCTCCTTTATCCCCTCTCACCCCGCTCTTAGAGTAGTTTCAACAGATCTCATTTTTCCATTTTTATATATTAGTATATGATATTTCCACCAAATTCACCCGCCTTCACTCTTTCCTTACATCCTCCCCTCTCCTACTGATACAAAACCCCAGACAGGACCTGTTTTATCTCCCTGCACTGTTTTCTAAGAAAGACATTTTTGTTTACAATATCTATACAGAGTTGAATTGTGACATTCCCATGTATATATGTATTGTATCCTGAATTGATTCATTCCCTTTATTTTTCTCCTTTCTACCTTAGTCCTCTTCTTATGGCAATTTAAAAAGTTTTAAAAATTCTATATTCATTAATGTAGAAAGTACATCAATCACCCATATTCACCTGTAGTGTATTAAAAACTCTAAGAAGCATGAACACATTCTTCTAATATGATGCTAGAGATAAGAGACTGAATAATTCAAGACAAATTATTGTTTGAGTTTTACTTCTCTTTTAAAGGACTGGAGTTGAAGGAGCCTACATCATCACAGAACCAAAAGAAAAACACGAACAAAAACACACAGATGTCATTTAAAGCAAAGTGGTACTCTTCCACACTAACCTCAACTTTAACAAAGGATAGACATAATTAAGACAAGAAAACTTTTAAAATAAAAAATCATGGGGTTAGAGGCATGACTCAAGTGTTAGAGAACCTGCTTAACAAGCACAAAGCCCCACCCAGTACCACCAAAAAACAATGAATAAATAAATAAATAAGAAATCATGCAAATCTGTAATATATAGAACTATCACTCACAGAAAATTTCAAGTTGGGACCAGGCATGGTGGCTCCCGCCTGTAATTCTAGCTACTCAAGAGACAGAGAACAGGTCTAATCCTAGCCACTAGGAAGGTGGAGATCAGGAGGATCATAGTTCTCCACCACTGGGGCAAAGAGTTAATCAACACACCGAGCACGGTATCATGCACATGTGATTCCAGCAACACAGGAGGCATAGGTAGGAGGGCTGTAGTCAGAAGCCAGTCCCAGACAAAAACATGAGACCCTGTCTGAAAAATTACCATAGCAAAAAAGACCTGGGGGTATGAAGGGGTAGAGAACCTGCCTAGAAAGCAGGAGGCACTGAATTCCAATCCCAGTACAATCAAAAGATAAAAGGAAGAGAGGGAGGGGAGAGAAAAAAGAAAAGAGAAAGAAAGAGAAGAAGGAAGGAAGGGAGGGAAGGAGGGAGGAAAGGAGGGAGGGAGGAAGGGAGGGAGGGAGGGAGGGAGGAAGGAAGGAAGACATTTTAAGTTGGTGTTGGCCTAAAACTACATTCAAAGAAGTCTGATTTTCTGAGTTAAGAACTTTTCCATTTGAGTAATTCATGCAAATATCAGGAATCTGATGGCAGTTTGGTTAAGTGCAATTTTCTGGATAGTAAAATTGGGAAAACTGGTATAGTTCTTTGACAAACAGTCCAGTAACTATCTTACTCCTATAGCTTCAAAGCAGAAGTCAAAAATCTGTAACCTGTTTGGAGTAGATACTGTCTGGCCGATTGTCTTAAAATTAATTGCTTCGGTTGGTGATCTGATTGTTTACTCAGTGTACTGCTATCACACCTTATAAGTTCTCATGAGAACTTACTCTTCTTTATCTTTTTCATAATTATATTTCATTCTATCCTTTCTCTAATAGCCAGGAGGGGATAAAGGGAACTGCTGAACAGATGCTAGTACAATGTTCTTGGACTCCCAAGCTTCTAGATGTATAAAACAAATTTCTTAGCCAAGTGCAGAGAGGCACATCTGTAATTTCAGCTATTGGAAAGACTGAGGCAGGAAGACTGCGTTCAAAGCCAACTTGGGCTATAATAGCAAGATGTCTCCAAAAAATTGCTTTATAAATTACTTGATATAAAGTATTTTGTTATAGCAACAAAATGGACTAACACTTGGTAAAAACCCTCTCCACCAGAAGTGACTTCAGCTCTCCAGAACTTGTTGAACACAGCTTGGAATCATGCTTATGGCATATACCCACACAACTCCAGAATGGGTACACACATTCAGAGGCAATGGGAGGAAACTCTTTAAGTTAGGAATAACAATTCTAAAATCTTTTTCATTAAACTGTTTTAACATAATAAAGTAGTAAATAACTGACAGGTTTACTTGTGTCTGTCTCAGTTCCCTATGACAGTCTAGTAGTTCATGAGGAATCTTTGGAAGAGTGGGTATTACAAAAAGAGTATAGATGATATACTTACAGAGTACAGTCATGTACTAGAGTGTCAAGGATCCATTTAAGTGGAATTATAAGTTATTCTTTCTAATTACAGAGAATGAGCCCTCCCCAAATACTGAGTGTTCTAAAATCATTAAAGAAACTAGAGATTAATTAGGTTACTAATGCAAGCACCAGAGAAGATTAAGAAAACAGTTGTCTGACATCACCTAATCCTAGTAGTCCCTTCTTAAACACTTTACTAGAGAACAGGAATAATATGCAGGTCAACCAGACATTATACAGTCTCCCCAGATTTCAAAATTTTTTAAGTGGATTTGCATCCACTGTCATATGTAATAAATATCATCTTTACTCTCTAGAGATTTTCATTAAAAACAATTTACCATCACTATTTGCAATATCTTAAATATTTCATCTTTAATTTTTTTAAAATTCTATTTTGTGCATTACTATAATTTGGATATTGAGTGTTCCCCAAAGGCCCATGTGTTAAAAGTTTGGTTTTCAGGGTGACACTTCTGGGAGGTGGTAGAACTTTTAAGAGCTGGTGGAATGGAGGGTTCCTTTGGTCATTGGGAGTATGGCATCAAAGGGATCCAAGGTAAGACACTTAATATCTCTGTCTGCCTCTCGATCCTCATTGTCACCTACCTCTCTTTGCTCCACTATCTTCCATTCCTTGATTTCCTTAGCCCCACTCACCTTGTTCTTCTAGCAATCTAACTGGCACAGTTCCTGCCTGCCTCTGGGCCTTGGTACATGATGGCCCTTCTTTTAAGACATGATCTGCCTAGTTACCACTCACCCTTCAAGTCTCAAATGTCACTTCCTTCTAGAAGCTTGTATAAACCCTCAAATACCTTATTCCCACACTGTTAATTTTCACTCATAGAAATCACTATAATTACATATTCATACTTACTGTACTTCTGAACATCTCTCTTAAGACTAAACTCCAAAATACCAAAATTTATACACTCATTCATCACTGCCAGGGCCAAGCTGATACCCACTGAATACTTGTTTAATTAGAATTCTCTTGAACTGGAGGTGTGGCTCAAGCAGTAGAGCACCTCCCTAGCAAGCACTTAGTTCAAACCCCAATACTGCCAAGAGAGAGAGAGAGAGTGAGAGATTTCTCCCAGAATTAATAAATTCAATATGACTTTAAATTCTAAAAACTTAGCAGCCATCCCCACCATATGTAACTGCAAAGGAAGACTATCCCCATAATTTAATCCATACAGTTTAGTTCAGGTAACAATGAACGCTAACAGCTAGCAAAACTCAAAATAAAGAACCCTTTCATGATTTTTTTAAAAAATCTAAAAAACAATCATTGTTGCCATATTTTCCATGCCACAAAGCCAAAACAATTCCATGTCCATCTGGGCATAGTGGCTCATCCCTGTAATCCTAGCTACTCAGGAGACAGAGATAGGGAAGATCTTGGTTCAAGGACAGCCCAGCAAACAGAAAGACCTGCATCTCAACCAATAAAAAGCTGGACATGATGGCACATGCCTGCCATCCCAGTTACATAGGAAGTGTAAATAGGAGGACTGATCTCAGTCTAGGCCAGCCCAGGCATAAAAGTGAGACCCTATTCTAAAAATAAAGCAAAAAAGGGCTGGTGATGTGGCTCACGTGGTGGAGAGCCTGTCTGGTAAGGATAAAGCCCTAAGTTCAAGCCCCAATGCTGCCCAAAAAAACCCAAAACACAAAACCAAGTGTATTTACAGATTGTCATTATGCAAACAAGTTAGGCTTAAATAGGAGGCAGAAAAAGAATTATAAATGCAGTCCCCCAACCTAATCTACTGCTTAACAGTAGCTTTAAAAAAAAAGCTGCACACCAGAGGAACAGAATGAAGAAAGAGAAATGTTCTGGAACTCTCTGGTTATATTTTAATTGCAAGAAACACCAATCTGGGTGTGATAGTACACACCTGTAATTCCACCACTTGGGAGGTTGAGGCAGGTGGCTGGTGAGTTCTAGTTCAGCCTGGGATACATAGTAAAACCTGTCTCAAAAAACAAACAAATACAAACCAAAAATCAATATGCCAAACTATTGACCTAAAACCCCAAAGATCTATTTCTAATTTTAAAACATGTTTTTCTAACATAAACTTTCAACTCCCCTGCTCTTGGCAAGAAAGACTGACTGTGGAAAATGAGAGTGACACAATTAGTCAATCCAGGGATACCTTACTCCAGTGGTTTCAAACTTTTAAAATTTTATTTTATTTTATTTTTGGTGATACTGGATTGAACCCATGGTCTCATGCTTGCTAGGCAGTTACTCTACCCATTGAACCCTATTTCCAAACTTTTTGATCTCAGGATCTCTTTGTATTCTTGAAAATTACTGAGGGGCTTGTCTATATGAGTTATATCTATTGATATTTACTGAGAATTTTAAAAATATTGTATCATATTAAAATAAACATAATGCCTATTTTTAAAATAAATTTTTAAAGAACTGTATTTTTTTAAAGGGAGAAAACTGCATTGTTTTGCATTTTGCAATCTCTATTTTGACTTAGAAGACACCAGGATGATTCTACATTCATTCTGTTACAGAATGAATTATTCTTCTGGTTAAAGTACACACAGAAGATCTAGCCGTACACATGTCCTTTGTGTCCTTTACAGTCTCACTGTCCTGACTCAAAGATTCTTGGACCACATTTTGAAAACCACTGCCTTACTCCTTAAATGCTTAGTCCTTCTACTATACCACATCACCAATGGCACCTGGTATTTTGGAGCACCTGCCTGATACCTGACAAAAATGCTACTGTGCTACAGTTTTGGAAACCTCGCTGGTTGTTCTAACATCAAGGAAATCTAATAGTCAAGGAAAATGAGATAGATATATTTTAATGTAGGAATATTTTATACATACAACTAAATATTTTTAAATGGGAAATAAACTTGTAATAAGCAGGTAATCATTAACTGCTCATCTCATTTAGGTAGGATCAATTATGAAAATCTCTAACCAAAAAATCATGGGCTACTGCAAATTGCAAAATACTACCTGAAGGAGTTCAGACTAGGAATTTTTGCTTCTCCTGGTAACTAATCTTAAGACTTCAGACACAGGAAAACCACTGTTCAGGAAATAGTTAGAGGGATGTCTTGCCTGACTAAGGGACTCCTTTTAAATCAGGGATCTCTTGCCTGACTAAGGGACTCCTTTTAAATCAGTACCATCTCTTGTAATGTCTCAGGCCAAACTTCTTGGGAAATAAAACATTTCCATATACTCTACTAAAAACAGACAATCACCAGCGCATAGCAGAATCACTTTCCAAACCCCATAGTGCTTTTCAAACTTCACTGATAGATCAGCCTTACATCTTTACATCTAGTGGAAGCGCTAGTGTTTAGTTCCATTTCCAACAATGAAGGCTTGAGCTCCAGTTCAGCACTTCTTTTGCTCATCACAATTTTGTAACTAGATAAGGCCACAAATCCTCTGCAATACACTACCAAAACATCATTTTGGGTTTGGAGATTTAGCTCCGTGGACGAGCGCTTGCCTGGCAAGTACAAGGCCCTTAGTTCAGTTCCCAGTACCACGGGGAAAACTCATTTTGATACTGGTCACAGGATGATTAGAGTGTAATGTACTTCCATATTCAACTTTTGGAAACCATATTAGAACAATCTAGTTGATAAACCATTTCTTAAATCTAACTTATGAGCAGCACCCAGTTTGTTATCCATAATATAGAAAATAATGGGAAGGTTATCAGAAAATTCTACAAAGTGTTCATTTGGCTGGCCTGGTGGTCTAAACTCAAATTGGGATATTTGTTCAATACATAATTTACTGAGTACCTACTTATTTAATAGGATTTTCTTGATACTCTTCAATTTCTAACAATCTGAGTTTAAAAGAATCTTGAAAGACTGTTGACAATCACTCGTCCATTTTGAATGACTTTTATACTCTTCACACGAAGTCACTTTTTTACCTATGCCTACTCATCACTTGTAAGCACTCTCACCACTATTCCATAATTGCTTTTTTCTTTATATATATATATATATATATATATATGTATGTATATATATATATATATATATATTTATGCAGTCTACTTTACAGAGGCAAAGTAGAGAAAGAATTAGAGGAATTCTGTTTTCTCTTAATCGTCTGTCAACATTACATCATTATCACCATAATACTCACGAGCCTAGCATTGTGCTTAGGAATCAATATGCATTATCTCATTCACTCTCTTCCTAAAACATTCTATGATATAGTAACCCTGTTTCACAGAGAAGAAAATTGATGGGTGGAAGTAACTAACCCAAGGACATAAGATCAAATCCAAGACATCTGACCAGAGTTTAGTGGTCTTAACCACCATTCTATAAAACATCCACTAACTGGCCAGGCATAGTTTAGAAATCCAGTTTGGTCATCCTTAACATTTTATCCACGCCTTAATTTATTCTGAGCTTCTTTACTTATGGTTATTCCAATCACCTTTCAATCATGTCCTCGTTCCATTTCTCTAACCTCAAAATTAATTTCATATACTCTGTAACTTCCAATTATCTCCCCCCACCCCACCCTTCTGCCTCCAGAAGAAAAGATTTTGATGTCAAACAACTTGACAGTGTAAGGGGTTTCCAACTCCCATCTATTTCCCACCCATTCTTCAATTCTCTTATAATTCATACCCCAAAATAAAAACAGAAATTAGTTTAATGCATATTTAAACCCAGTAAGACAAAGTCTAAACATGAAACTTCAAGGAAAACACACTTACAACCACTCAATATAGGACAAAACCCAGCCACTGTAACTGATTAGATAACATATTTTTTAAAAACCCAGCTAACCAAAGAGAAGCTTGCTGCAAACTACCTGAGCCTTTGGGAGAGGTAAAAGAGACATGGGCTGTCAGTAATACCTGAGAAGAAAAGCTAAACCAAAGCCATCATGCCATATAAATTAAGTCAGGGTCTTTTCTTCATTTCACAAATAACCTGTTAAATATTTTTAACACCACACTCTGTCTGAACTGGTAATGTGCAAGTTGCCAGGGCATTGTTTTATATAGACTTCACTGCTGCTGAAGGGTTTCTGGTAGGGTGTTCCTTTCAGAATATTAGCATGTAATTTGATCTTTTGCAATAGAATACAAATAGCTTCTTGGACAAGTCATATAGAACTGTAAACCAGTCCCTGGATCTGTTCATCCTGTGGTTAGAGGAAATAATTATAGATTATTTCAGGAAAGAAAGGGGTTTGACTGAAAGAGTTACACTACAGACATTCCAGCTGTGACAGATGGACCTAAGATATGCCTGGGAAAAAGGGAAAGAAAACAATATAATCTGCAAAAAGACGAAGGAAAGAAAGGCTGGACTGAGTGAAAACTGAAAGCTTTAGGTTACCCTGTAAGAAACAATACAAATTTATTTATACCCGGAACAAAAATGACTTTGCTGCCCTCTTCAAGATATACAAGTAAAAACTAAACTAAGCTTATGAGAGTCCAATGTATTAATCACCCACTAGATACCATGTTGATTTTGACATGCTTGACTGCATGGAGACTGTCCCTCATTTTC